AGTGCCATTTCTGTTGCTGCACGTCTAGCAACTGTTCTCCCACGTTCCGAGAGTACTTCCTAGATCACCCCCCGGAGTGCCTGGTCTCTGGCCGTGTCAGTCCACGTGATTCAGGTGGATCCCAGAACTTCCCTTGACCACAGCTACTGGCTCATAGGTGAGTATGTGGCCCAAAGGCACCTGTGAGGGCAGTCCAGGGCCTTTTGTGTGCTACAGCTAAGAGAAAGCCCCTCTCTTTTTCTGCTGTGGGGATGAAAGCCTGGAGCTGCTGGAGACCCCCATATACAAGGAACCTTCCTGCAAGGGGACCAACAGAGAGGGAAGCAGAGCTGAAGGATGGAGGAGAGAGACCAGGCTCAGAGGAAGTTGCTTGACATCCTAGACTAAGTCCTCAATCCATGGCTTTTCAGTTTCATGAGTAATACGTATCCCCCTTTTACTCCCCTTAAGGCAGTTTAGGTTGGGTTTTCTGACACCTGAAAAACAGTGGCTTTGATGTTACATACCCCAAGAGTTTAGAAATGAGACAACAGACAGCCAGGGCAGGGAGGCACCACCCAAGGTTACAGAGAGACAGCCCCGAAGGTCAGGTGTCCTGATGTCCGTGTAGCCTCTCAATCTGCTGTCCTTCAGTTCTCAGGCTGATTTCCCCACCATGGCAGGAACAAAAGCTGAGCTGGTGGGGGCAGAATGTTAACAAGTGTAATTACGGTAAAGACACCTGCCCAGCTACCTGCCCCAAGGGTGATGGTGAGCATTTGCGGTCATATTCAAGGAAGGTCTCCATCCTCAGAAGATTTTTGTGCCTTTTATAGGTTAGGAGGGATCCCAAGACATGTCAAGAAAAGCACTAATCACATGACCGGTGCTGCATAGCTGTGAAACCCCAAGACGTAGCTCACCTGCTTTCTCCACTGAGATCTGCTTTTTAACTCTGTAAACAGATATAATTCAGTCAGTAAACCAACACTTGTGATTTCATTAATTCCACGGAAAAGCATTAATTGAGGGCCTCCTATGTGCTAATCACTAGTTTAGAGACACAGATTCAGTAGTCAACAAGGTAGCCTCAGTGCCTGTCCTCAGGGAACCTACACTTCAGGGTGGGCATGAAAATAACCAGAGAAACACAGACTTAGGGAGTGTGAAAAGTCTTATGAAGGAAAAGTACCCAGTGCCATGAGAGCATATGAAGAGGACCCATCTCATCCGCTGAGGCAGGGGAAGTGCTGAGCAGAGATGGGCAGAAGGAGCAGGTATTAGCTAAGCAGCGTGGGGACCAGTATTTTGAATACTGGACAGAGCCTGGGCAGTTGGGGGGCAGGGCTTTGAATTCATTCATGCCAGTGTTTGTTGGGTACCATATGTCAGTGTTCCTCTCTTTTGCTTGCTATTTTAGGTCCTTTTATTCCTGCCATCAGATTCTCAGAGCCCAGGAGTCCTTGAGTCAGTTATATAAACTATTTTCAATCTAGGATCCTTGGTGCTCTGGCCTCAGGGCTCCACAGGTTCAGATACGCTGCGGGCTAACGTCTAGTTAGTCACCCTTTTGTTTGTGAGGTTAAAAAATTCCGCCATCGTAACCAAGCCTGCTCTTTTAGAGAAGGGCGCGGATTGCTTCTATCCATCCTCAAAAGTGCCTCCTCTCCCCCCACCACCCCGCCCCGATTTCCCTTTCATTTGTCTGTAGAAGAATGTGGCGGCAGTGAAGCTTGCTGCCACTAGGGGGCAGGAGCGCCAAAGCAAAGGACTAAGTTCCGGGAAAAAAGCAAATGAAGCCCGCAAGTAACACGCAGACAGTCCGACAGGGTTTGCGCTGGTGTAGGCCCCGTCAAGCTCCGAAGCCCAAGCTTTACGTGTCTCGATTCCGATACACCAAGTGTGCTTACAATGATGATTCCCTCCTGCACACTGTTGATTGCTACAGATACTAGTGCCAGCAGAGAAATTTTAAAAAGGAGCCTCTGGTGGGGGTGGTTCTTTTTGTCTATAAAACAAAGGAATGGAGTCTTGGATTAGAATTTAAGTTTGAAAGAGCCCTTCAAAATGTGCAGAGGGGCCAGGGGGCCCCAGTCCTGGTTCGCAGTGTGCTGTGTGACCTTGCTTAAGAACATAACCTCTCTGGGCCTAAATTGCTCCTTTATAAAAGGATGATACGATGTGAAAAGTCTCTTCTGATTCAAAGAATCCAAGTGGTGAAGACAGTTAAGAGTGGAGAACTGCACCCTTAGATGACTCCTTGTGTAATTTCTAATTTGGGGGGTTCTTTCCACTGAGGGAGCTCTGTTTTCCTGACTCACACCTCCTTTCATTTTACAGATGAATACACTTTACCACGAAGGAATGAAGAGCTATGGGCGGGGTTCTGGCAAGTAAGTGGTGAGAGAGATACTGTCGGTTCTTTCAAATCGCACCATGACCAAATCCTCTTTGCCTTCGATAGGGACGAGCTATTTGGCTCTGATGTGGGAGACAGGGTGAATATCTGTGAGAAGCAAGTATCTCCCTGAAACTCAAATTAAACCCTCCGTTATCCTGGAATCCAGAGCCTTACTGAACTAGCTCACGAGGCTGCCGGCTTGAGAACAGCGTGGAAACAGGACTGCTCTGGGACTGAGAGATGATCTTTAAGGCCCTTTTCTGCCTTGTCACTCTAGAATGAGAAGATTTATGCCCAGACAAGACTATCCCTGGGAGGCCCCACCAAGAAGTGGAGCTTCGGCCTAAAGCCACAGTCTTGTTCTAAGACGGGCCCCCTGGGACTGGCCCCTGAGGACCTGTGCTGTCCTCACCGCCCACTGCTGCTTTGGGCTGGGGGAAGATGGTGGACCATAACGGAGACAAAGACCCCAAACAAATCAAAAACCAACAACAAAAACCCTATAGGAAAACCTCCTTTCTCTGGCAGCACCAGTTTCTGGGATTCACGACTTAGACCCAAAATGTAGAGTGGGAGGGGTCAGCAGGGGCTCGGGGAGGCTCCGCTCGGATTCTCCTTCCCGCTTTGGGTGATGGCTCTCTCTCCCCGCCCACCAGTGCCTGATCGACAGCAAGCGGTTGCCTTGCGTGGCTGCTGCCTTTCCCACTGAGCAGGATGTTATAGATACCTTCGCTCTCAATTAATATAGATCAGCGCCATGATTCGTGTTTCTCTAAAGATTATTTTAATGTTGACGTTAGTGGAAGTTTATTTTTTGGTTGGGTGACATCAGTACCACAATTTGTAATGATCGCAGAATGTTCCAGTTATGACTGTTTTTGGCTTTTTTTGGCCAGGCCTTGCAGCTTACAGGATCCTAGTTCCCCGACCAGGGTTGAACCTGTGCCCGCTGCAGTGGAAGTGTGGAGTCCTAACCGCTGCACCACCAGGGCATCCCCCTGCCCCACGGTTTTAACCGGCAACTCCCCACCCAACCCACACATTGCACATCCCCTAGGTCGCCTCTCTTCATCTTGACAACGGGTAGAGGCGGGGAATCACCGCATCTTAGGGATCATCCTCTCTAGCCCTTTCATCTCCCAGAGCAGGGATGCGGCTTCCAGCTGGTGGCTGACCGGGGCTAGAATTCAGGTTTTCTGAATCACCACCCCTCTCAGGATTACTGAAGGTGGCCAGGAAGGGAGGAAGAGGGGACTTCACCCTCCAATGCCTGGCAGTTTACAGATTGTTAAGAGTGTCCCCTCTTACACATTTTTATATTCTCTTCCATGTTTCTACAATAAGTGTCCAAAATTCTGTCCCTGGCTGCTTGCTTGTTGGATAAATTTGGCCTGCCCGTCCTTCCTGTGCCCGAAAGTGACATTTTAAACCCCTCCTTCCTCTCTCCCAGATCTGTCCCACCTCTGCATCCCCCAGATTGAATTTCCCAAGGGCGACTGCCACACAGAGCTAGCAACCCGTCACGAGATGGCTAAATATAAACCGTACAGACTGCAAATCAGCCTCCACGATCATCTGCTCCTTTGTTTAGCTTATTATCCTCCCAAATCAGGCTGGCGGGGAGGCACGCGCCTCGTCCATGCTGCACAGGACCCGGTGGGTGTTGGGGTCCCACAGGAGAAGCCAAACAAACACACTCTGCTGTGTGCCGAGTCGTTCCCTTCTCCATGGAGCAGGCCCTGCTTTCCAGATAAAGCTGACAATCCCCAGGCTCTGATTTCCAAAGCAAATAACTGTGACTCCCCTCAATATTGGGAACAGATGCAACAGTCTGGCTGAGGGCTGAGTGCAGCTAGGGACAGAGACACATTATGTGCTGTGGAAGTCGTCTTACCTCCCTCAGGGGAGGATGGGGAATGGGGGACGATGACCTGGGAAGGGATCAAGGGTTCAGAGCTGTACCGCCGTCCTAGAACATGGCATGTAGGGAGAGTGACCCCCAGAGGCACACATTTTTCAGGGGGGACTTCCGATCAATTAATGGTGTCTGACATGGACCCAGGTTTGGTGGGTGCGAATAGGTGTGCCATCTGTGCCATCTGTGATCTAGAGGAAACCAATCTCAGGAGGTAGGATTTCTTAGTATGTAGGGTGGAGCGGTGGTTCCAGAAAGTTACAGGCTTAGCTGAAGCCTCAAACTGTCATGTTGAAGCCTCAAACTGTCATGTTGAAAACATTCTTAGTGTTCAGGATCTCATGAATGGTTAGTTTTTCTAGAGAGTTGAGGTCCATTTTGAACCTTGGATTGTAATGGGGACAAGGGCACAGGAAAGAATCTGTGTTTGGAGAGGACCCAGAATGGGATGCTATCATGAAAGGACACCACTGACCTCCACTGCTAATCTGATGGATATTTACCTGTCTTCATCTTAAATGACCCTTATCAGCGCTTGGTGCTACTGGCCATTTCTTTCTTCTTGAATTATGCTCTTCCCTTGCTTAAAAACACTCTTCTGCTTTTCCTTCTGTCTCTTTGATCTTCCCTTAATTTCTCTTAAGTTTCATCCTCCTCTGTCATTAAATATTATGGCCCCTTGTCCATAGACTTGTCCTAGGTCCCTTTCTTTTCCCACCCTGTGTTCTCTCCCTAGGTGATCTCATCCTAGCCAATTACTTTAATTCCCACCTACATGGATATATTCAACCTTTTATATCTTGAGCTACACAGAACCCCTTAGCTCCAATGGCCTATTTAGCATATCTGCTTGGGTGCCCCAAGGGCAAGTCAAACTCAACATGTGCAAAAGCAAGTCTGTGATCTCCCTTCTGTGCCCCGCCCACTTGGATCTCTTCTGGTGTTTCTTAACTCCAGTTAAATAAGGCAGAAATGTCACCCTGAACATACCCCCTCCTTCTCTCTTCCTGTATCCAATCCATCACCTAGCCCTGATGGTTTTTTCCCCAGTTTTATTGAGATACCACTGACATATAGCATAACGACTTGCTATATAAGGGGTACAGTGTAATGACTTGACGTACATATAAATACCATAAGTTTAGTTAACATCCATCTCATATAGTTAAAAAAACGTTTATTCTCCTTGTGATGAGAATTTGTAGGATTTGCTCCCTTAGCATTTTTCAAATATGTCCTACAGAAGTGTTAGCTGTAGTCACCATGTTGTACATGACATCCCCAGAACTTATTTATCTCATAACTGGAAGTTTGTACTTTTGACCACCTTCATCTAATTCCTCTGCACCCTGCCCCCCCACCCTGATTCTAGTAAACACACATCTGTTCTCTTTTTCTATGAGTTTGGTTTCATTTTTTTTAAAGATTCTACCTATATATGAGGCCATACAGCTTTTGTCTTTCTCTGCCTGACTTATTTCATTTAGCATAATACCCTCAAGGTCTATCCATGTTGTCACAAATGGCAGAATTTCCTTCTTTTTAATGGCTGAATAATATTCCACTGTATGTATATATCCCTCACATTTTCTTTATCTATTCGTCTGCTGATGGACACTTAGCCTGATAATTTTACCTCATAAATATTTTTGAATTTGTCCACTTTTTTCTGTCATGACCGCCATCCTAGATCGTTACTAAATACTTTCCTTTCTTGCTCAAACTACAAATGGTCCAAAACACCCCAATTCCTTTCCTTAATTTAATTTCAGCTCCCAAGTTGTCAAAAAAGGTCTTTGTCAAAAGGCACCTTGGATCACCTTCTCTTTCTCCTCCCACTGTTTCTACTCTGATATTGGCCTCTAGTTTACTGCATGCTGAGGACTGTTAAAATCCCAGCATTCACATGGTGCTTTCATTCCAAAGCACTTTTTTTTTTTGTTTTTTTTCCCAGTACACGGGCCTCTCACTGTTGCAGCCTCTCTCGTTGTGGAACACAGGCTCCGGACACGCAGGCTCAGCAGCCATGGCTCATGGGCCCAGCCGCTCCGCGGCATGTGGGATCTTCCCGGACTGGGGCACGAACCCGTGTCCCCTGCATCGGCAGGCGGACTCTTAACCACTGCGCCACCAGGGAAGCCCCTCAAAGCACTTTTGTTCTCATCATCTCATTTTATTTTCAACTGGCCCCGTGAGTGGGTCACAATCACCGCATTTTAGGGATCTTATCTGCCTTCCTTGGAAACAGTCTCAGAGACGTGGATCACCTCTTCTAAGGTCATCACTGGTTAGTGAGCAGGGCTCACGTCTGCTGACTCCCCACACTGACCTCACTGTTCCCCCTACTACTCAGAAGAGGACTTTGGATGAGCCAGATGCCCTTTAAGGCATATTCTAGGGCTAACAGTCTGTGATTCTGTGGTTTACAGGGACCAAGAGGAAGTTGCAAAAACATTTCAAAGAGAACTTTAGAGGTGAGGTTGAGAGAAAAGGTTCAAAGTGAAACTTGCCTTTCTCCACAAGTGAGTTTCAGACCTGAAGCCTGAAGACAACAGATCAATTCTCTCTGCCTCGTGGCTGCTGCTTCTCTGGCCTCTCAGTGACCATGACTGGAGGTTGGCTTACAGCCTGATGGTGACCCAAGAAGGGTCAAGGGGTTTTAATCTTGCTTGGGGAAAAGATTGAACGTGGGAGGAATGAAAACCTCATGTTGTGCTAAAGAGGGTAATGAGAAGTGAAAATAATCCACTGTGAATGAGCCCCTGTGACAAATTGAAATAGAAGCAGGTGAGCCGTAGGGATGGAGAATTTGAGGGAAGAAAGAGTCAAAGCAATGAAGGGCTAGTGATTTCATGTTCCCAAATGCAATCCACATAGTTTACATCTGAGAACATAGCAGAAGTTTGTGTTTGTGGTATAGATTGCGATGTCTTCTTATAGTTATGTGTGAATTAAGGGCTTCTCAAGCTGCAAAAAGATTGTTAATGGACTGAATGATCAGGAGGGACTCCATTGATGAGATAGATGGTCATACTTCATGAACTTTTCATTAGGCTGGATACAAAAATATAGACATT